CATCCCCAAAAGTTTCTCAGCGGATTTGGGCTGTACTCAGCAAGCGCAGTACAGCCCCTAACTCAGATTCGAAAAAAATCAGTGTATGGCTGTTTTCTGACTGGTCGGCAGACCACCGACCAGTAGGCCCTACTGGTCGGCTGCAAAACGCTCGGCGGTCGGCAGGCATGCAACCCTGTTTTAGGATGAAAAAGAACTGGAACGTCCTTCGGGAAGTCCGTAAAAATTGGAACGATACAGAGAAGATTAGCATGGCCCCTGCGCAAGGATGACATGCATAAATCGAGAAATGGTCCAAAACACACAAAAAAAAAAAAGTCCGGAGAGCAATGTCGCCACTTCACGGCCAAGACTCTTGCCCCAAAGACCTATTCGAGGCTATTGATGATGCCCAACTGGACGAAAAGATAAGATTTGTATGACTGTACTTGAACAGGATCTGTTCCTTATGTAAGACACTCCTCTGTATCTTCGAAAACAGCAAAAAAAAAGAGATTATTCCATATTGCTGGTGCGGCACACTGGCAGGTGCCGAGCAGCACAAAGCAAACCGCACCGCACAGCTGTGCGGCATGTGCGGTTGCAAGTATGGACAGGAGTAATGATTAATAGAGACGGTTGGGGGCATTCGTATTCCAAATTGTCGAAGGTGAAATTCTTGGATTTATCGATGACGAACTTCTGTGAAAGGATTTGCCAAGGATGTTCTCATTAATCAAGATCGAAAGTTTGGAGGATCGGAGATGATCAGATACTGTCCTAGTCTCAACCATAAACGATGCCGACTACCATCTTCACCCGAATAGAAGGCCCGACCATTATAGCTGTATTGGGCACAACATTCAGCCCAGATACGGCAATAATTACCGGGCGTTATTTTCGGGTGAAGATGGTAGGGATCGTCGGATGTCTATTGGATAACTTCTTCCAGCACCTTGTGAGAAATCAAAGTTCACAGGTTCAGATGGACTCACATTTTCACTACTATTAATTCAAGGAAACAAAAAACAAGTCGTGGTAGCCCTTCGGACTGTTCTGTAAGAAGCCCCTGCAATTGTATGATGTCCTACCTTATAAATTCCCCTACCCCAACCCCACGTGCAACACAGTTCATACATCTGACAGCGGTCATGAGATGGTTTCATTCCTATGCATTACTGGTGATTTGGAGCGGACAAACAACCCATGTCGGAGCTTTGCTCATGAACATGAATGCTGAAAGGAACAGGGAACAGACACACAACGAGGGAGGGAAAGGGGTGCAGATGGGGGAAGGAAGGAAAGGGTGGGAAGCGAAGGGTAGGGGAGAGGGAGAAAGGGGGGAAAGGGGGAAGGGGGGAGCGGGGGGGAGCGAGAGAGAAAGAGAGCACTCACTTGTGAAGATAGTATCCCCAAAAAACACCAACACCAAGTGCTAGGGAGAGTGCAGAGCCAAAACACCACCACCGGACCTTCTTCACTCCAATCAGAAGACCAAGGCCAGAAATAGCGAATGATGCGGACCCGAGAGCATCTGACCACAAAGCACGCAACCAAAAAGAAGGGACGGAGGACAGTCAAGAACTCCTCTCACATTGATTCTTGTTTCCTTGCCTGACGGCCTTGCAACTCTTTCGCCCACACCTTCCTCCCCCTACCCCCATCACCTACCCTTCCTGATTGCCGCCACCTTTCGTCCTAGAGCCATCAGCGGCCACATGGAGTGCACCAAGGAGTTCAGCCCTCCCTCCCCCTCATCCGTCACCGGGTGCAGGTCCGCACCCTCTGGGATTCTGTTCTCCCTCTGATGCAGCTGGATCAATCTCTTGGTGAGCTGGCAGTTGATCTTCACCTCCTGCCTAGAAAGTATGTGCAGTATCTCCCCAGTTCACTTCGGGAATGGGACCCTCTTGTGCACAAAGTGTTCAAATCCTGGCGTGTACGACGCCTGCCAAACCCTCCCGCAGAGCAGACACTTGTGCCCATTCTGGGCGTACCCCTACAGTTCCGCCTGCTGTCATCGCAGCACCCATCGGTACCTTCGACCGCTGCAAATCAAGCTCTGCCATCTTGGGCTCTGCATCGAACAGCGGTTTCTTGGTGGTTGGCTTCCCCGCCTAAGCCTTGCCCTTGCTGCTGCGCGCTGCCAGAAGTCATGTTGCCAAAAGGAAAGAAGTACAAGAAGATACAAGAAGACAAAAGAAACCAGAAGAGGACGAAGAAGAGGACGAAGAAGAGGACGAAGAAGAAGAAGAAGAAGAAGAAGAAGAAGAAGAACACAATTGCAAAGCACAATCGGTTCCCCTCTACCCCGCAGGAACTCGGGGCACAAGTTTCTTGTTTTGATGTTGCTCTGACAGTCTCAGCACAAATTGAGATTGAGAGGAGCCCAGCGTTTCAGGCTATCTGACAGTGAATCCTCCTTATGACAGCACTTCTTCAGGGGTCCTTTGACCTAAACAGAACGAGCGTGGCGTCGATCAAGCTCTGCATTCTGTTCCTGGACTTGCCGATGGAAATGAACCAGACTGACGCTCCCCACAATGCACAAGGAGGCAAGACCATAAGGACCTGTTTTTATCAAAAGAAAAAAGCAGCAGTTGAAGCAGGAGGAGGAGGAGGCGAACGAAGACGGAGGAAGAGGGACGGAAGAAAGACAGAAGAAGAAGAAGAAGAAGAAGAAGAAGAAGAAGAAGCAGGAGGAGGAGGAGAAGGAGGAGAAGAAGGAGGAGAAATGGCATGGATGGATAGATGGATGGATTTGATAGACGGGTAGGTTGGGTGGGTGAATGCAAATAAGAAAGAATGGCCAATTAAGATCTATTTGGTGGGTTGGATGGGTTGGTTGGATGGATGGGTTGGTTGGATGGATGGGTCGATTGGATGGATGGATGGATAGATGGATAGATGGATAGATGGGTGGGTGGGTTGGTTGATTGATTGATGCATCGATTGACCGACCAATTGATGGACTGAATGATTGGCGGATTGACTGACTGATCGATCTCATTCATTGACTGGTTGATTGATTGATTAATAAAAAAAAAGTTAAAGAGGAGAAAGTGTGCACAGGTATGCACAGAAAGAGGCACAGATCTCTCCTTCCATCCTATTCCCCCTCTCAGACTCGTGCACATTGTGCTTGTTGATTGATTGATAGATGATTGATGACTGAAGATTGATTGATTGATCAATGATCATCGAGTGATTGATTGATTGGTTGATGGTTGATCGCTGATTGATTGAAGACTGACCATTGATTGCTGGATTGACTGATTGAGAGGGCGAGTGAATGATTTTTGTAAAGGAGCAGAAATAATGGGAAAAAAGAAATGAAAAGAGAAGAAAGAAAGACAAAAGCAGGAAACGAAACAAAAGAAAAGAAAAAGCCAGGGGGCACCCAGTTTTTTTTATCCCCCCATCTCCACTCATTTTATCTTTTTTTCCAATCTGGATGTCCCTTATCTTTTGGAGTTCATTAGAGAGCAATTCAAAAGAAAAAGGAAAAAACAACAACAAAAAAAACGGGCCACGTAATTTCCTTTGGCAGGGGTGGACTTTCAAAAGTATACCCCCCCAGCACGTCACCAAGGAGCTGAACACTCGACTATGGGTAAGAACTCTCAAGGAACTTTCGCGCTGGTGTTTGGCCTCAATGGAGTTATCATTTATGTGCAAAATCGCAAATACAACACCGACAATTGCGTTTTCGTCATTGTTGCACCCCCCGACGGTCGGCGACCCTTGACTGGTCAGCTGCCGACCCGCCGACCGACCGGCTGCCCGGCACCTACCGGTCAGGGATCGTCAGCACCCCGCAAAAAAATGGGGGGGTCCAGAACCCCCCAATAACACCCCCCATAGCGTCCCCCAATACCCCCATACACCCCCCCCAAACCGCCCCCAACACCCACATTACCCCCCGGGCCACCCCAATACCCCCTATACCACCCCTATACCCCCCTATACTCCAACCTTAACCCCCCCATATCCCCCCCCAACCCCAAGAGTTTCTCAGCGGATTTGGGCTGTAGTCAGCAAGCGCAGTACAGCCCCCTACTCAGATTTGAAAAAAATCAGTGGACGTTTTTAAACGGTTTTTTTATTTTTATTTTTTACTGGTCGTCAGACCGCCGACCGGTCGGCCCAACTGGTCAGCTGCAATACGGTCGGCAGTCGGGGTCGGCGGTCGGCAGGGATGCAAACCTGGTTTTCGTGAAAATTGAGTTTTTTTTTCGCGTTTTGCAGTTTGTCCCAGGAGCAAATGGGAGAAATGAGGGAACAAGGAGTCGGTGAAACCATGAGAACATTGCGAAGAGGAAATATTATTACCTGCCATGACGACCCTCTCAGATTCGAGAACAGGCGCAAATACTGCATGATATTTCTGCACACAAGGAATTTTACAGTGGATTCAAAGTTACAAACATAACCAAGCACAGAAAGAAGTTCCGATAACCAGACAAACAGAAATACAAGAAATAGGTCACAGGAACAAACAAACAAACGCACCACACGTCAGCATTGTAATTGACGGTAGCAGCTGCTGAGAAGATGGCTGCCTCCTAAATATCACTGAGCTGAAGTTGACAAGAGTGGAAACAATAGTCCTAGACTGTGTGTTGAATGGAGTGCCAGTTCCCAATGCAGATGTAGAAACGGAGGACGGCTCGTGTCTCAGACGCAGCTAGCTGCTACTCTATCTGATCGAGAAAGAACGATTGAACTCCACAATAGACTGTAAGACGGCAGTAGCTATAGGTCCGTGCATCTGGGCCCAAGGCCCTCCTCTGTGCAAGCACGGATTCGAACCGGCGACCTCCGCCTCAAGAGCCAAACCTCTTAACCACTACAGCCAGGACCCTGTCAGAAGGCAATCTAGCAGGAGAAAAACAACAGCAAAAACTCAAAGAGAGTAAAACGGGCTTCTGGCAAGTGGTCAGCGGCACAGGAGGCATTGGAAGGAACCAGTCTAGATATTGGACAAGGCCNGAGAGTAAAACGGGCTTCTGGCAAGTGGTCAGCGGCACAGGAGGCATTGGAAGGAACCAGTCTAGATATTGGACAAGGCCAAGGTCGGGCCCAATCTCTTCCCCAGCTCATGTGTCAGACGGAGCAACCAGCAACAACGACGTCTTCAAGTGGTAATTTCTACAGACATCATATATCCAGAAGCCTCTGCATCATACATCCAGCAACAACGACGTCGTCAAGTGTCATTCACAGACATCATATATCCAGAAGCCTCTGCATCATACTACATGTCAATTTCTATGCCAGCCCACAAAGAGGTGGTCTTCATCAGGATTACAGAGCCCGGCACCTCACAGGGCAAGAACAATGACTCACTACAACACACCCATGATGACTATTGTACGACATTCGAGCACAAGATTTTCCAGCAGCCTCTCTCTCTCTCTCTCTCTCTCTCTCTCTCTCTCTCTCTCTCTCTCTCTCTCTCTCTCTCTCTCTCTTGCGCGCGCGCGCTCTCGCTCTTGCTCTGTGTGTGTGTGTGTGTGTGTGTGTGTGTGTGTGTTTCAAAATTCAAACGCCTTTCAGGCACATGTCAGAAAACAAGGCGGGCAAAAATGTTGCCCATTTACCATTCCTCCTGGACTCGAGATGAGAAAGAAAATGGTAAAGAGCATACCGCATAGCAACAGGCAACAACGATAAAACACTGTTCTTCGACCGCAAGTACACGGCCCCAGCCTTGCAGAAAGTTTTTGTCGCCATAAGCAAAACTCAGAGGGGCCGCGGGATGCCGTTGAAAATAAAAATCGGTGGCCTCCGAAGTGCTTCGGGTTTCATGCTGACACCCGCGGGCCGATGTATGGTGTACTGGTGCTTCAAATCTTTCAAAGGGACTGGTCTGTTGAAACTTACAGTTTCCCAAAGTGGGTGATTTGACTGACGATACGAAGAATGTGCAAAAAACAATGCCAATCCAAGCGCCAAGCTACACAGACACCCCTGCAGCATTCAACACACATACCATATTTCAGGGAAAAGAGAAACAACAGTGAGAGAGGGGAACACGAAGACGGAACAAATTGCTCAAAAGCCCATTAAAGTCAGGAAGCATGAAAGAAGAGTGTGCAAAAAACAATGCCAATCCGGGCGCAAACCTACACAGACACACCTGCAAAATTGAACACACTTCATTTATCAGGGAAAAGAGGCATGGAACAATTGCTGAGATTGCCAGGAAACAGAAGCCCACAAAAGTGAAAAAGGATTGCATTCCAGCAATTTTTCACAGCCATTTGCACAAACTGAGAGCATGCAACGTCACTTCGATAGAGCATTTTTTTCAACTACTTTTTTCTACTGTAGTTAACCATACTCAGACTTCAACTCTTGACTTCATTCTCAGACCCCTACACTCCTACACTACAGAGGTCTACTAGGCTACGGCAATTTGGCTGCAGCCTTCAGTCCCAGTAAGGGTGTCTGGGCACAAGCTCCTGCAAGAGGGATTTGGTATTCGACCGGTTGACTGTTTTCAATCAATCAATCAATCATATGGACAGGTCAATGGTATATAGCGAGTCTTGTGATCCATTCACACTTGTGGATCAATCAATCAACCAACCAATCAACCAACCAATCAATCAATCAAAAAACAAGCGGATCAATCAATCAACCAACCAATCAATCAACCATTTAATCAACCAATCATTATATATGGCGAGTCTTGTGATCCATTCACACTTGTTTCAGGACAAAACAAGTGGATGTAGCTTTCTCAAGACTCCTGCAATTTTTTTATGCAATTGAGTTTTTCAACTGTTTTTGAGTTTTTGACTCGTAAACATTCCGTTCCATCCAGATCAGTCCACACAGATACAAGTGTGGGCATATGGATGGCAGACATCTATAAATCAGCCGACTCGTTAGCATCAGAGATATGGTGTGAGCGATGCCCATGTGTGTTACATTCCCTCTGTCCCGATCTTCTTGACATGTACCAGTAAGTCAAGGACTCCTGATTCAAAGCCAAGGGACCTCACAATAGCTGGATAATCTATCTGAAAATACGACAGGTTTAAGTTGCTCAGCTGTCTTTCTGGCCCAGAGAGTGGGGAGACAAGAACAGTTCAACCGGTGAGTTTGGCGACGAGTCGCTGCGGCACCCTAAACCAGGCGACTCTGGCGATAGAGCAGACACGAAACGTCTGCTCTGGCGAGCGGAGTGAGTGCCAGGATAGAATCAAGAAGTGAACCGCGAATCTCAATTCTCTCGCCTAGACCCAAGCAAGTGCACACACAGCCCAAGGCCAAGGGCACAATTCTTCGACACATTCGATCATAGTATTACGTATAGTATCATCCAGATAAAGTGACCATATGCTCGGCCGAACCAACCAACCGGATTGGAATCGAAAATCCATATTTATATATGCCAGAAGGAAGAAAAGTGGTGAAGTCTGAACAGACGGATAATTTGATATCCCAGAGATTGCACGCATTTCACAATAGAGATAGCCTTCTGCCCACCCTTCTCCCAAAGACTGCACCCCTCATTCTCCCTATCCTTCCTCCTTCCCTTCCTCAATTCTCGCAAATAAAAACTGACTGAAAAGCGCAGCGCTCAATCTCCAATCACGAGGTGCATCTCCGGAAACACATCCATTGCGGTAAATCCACCTGAAGCATCCACAAACTAACAAAGAACAAAGAAGAAGAGTCTGCTCAAACAATTACAAAAAAAAAAAAAAAAAGATAAACAAGATCACATACCCGCCAAATGCGCTCCTGCCTTGCATTTTGTCTTTCAAAAGATTGCACGAGCGCCTCTTGCTCTGCCAAACCAAACCACATATTCATCAATGGACAGCCCGCCAAACTGTTCGGTCAGCGGCAGTGTCCTTCTGCAGAACGGGAACGAAATGCAGGAAGAGGTAGAGAGAAGAGAGCTAGACCGGGAGTAATCAGAGGAGGATTACAATTTTTTCAGGCATGCTCATCATTAGCAGAGAAGACTATTCATTTCCATGCATGTCGATCCTAAAGAGGACGGTACTTCACACATCTTGTGCTCTCCAAACCCCGCACCTTCAGCCTACTAGTTTGCCATTATATATCCACACCAAACAAACACAATAGCTGCAGCTTATTTTCAAGAAAACCAGAAGTGCAGAACAAGATATCCCTTCTACATATATGTGGGATCCATAAATTCCATACCGCATGGTAGCAGACTAACAGCTGGGCTGGTTTCAGGGGTATGTCCAGGATAAGTCTTATAGGGGGCAGCGGGGGGGAGGCGGGAAAGGAGGGGGGAGGGGGCCGCCAACGGAACACTACCAAGGGAGAGGACCTGTAAAATGCATAGTGTATTGAGGTCATGCCTGAACCCAGTATGAGGTCCAGGGATCAAGCCCTTCCTAGAATGCATACAACTAGTTTTCCACCTCCGCCAAAAGAGAAGCCACAACTGGCAGGTGTTAACAAGACCCTGGGACACTGATCCAGCAAGAACAAGTAGTGCTGCTCCGCGACACAATCTTCACGATGAAACAAAACTGAATTTTACAAACCAATCAGTCACAGAATGAATAGATGTCAATATCAAGAATCATATTGCCAGAGGAGTAAGGTGAAGAGATGTTGAGGCCTCTTTTTCAGTCCAATCAGGCCAAAAGTGACACCTAGCACAGTGCTGAGCCGGAACACTGAACAAACAGCTTTGAAAAGAATGATGAAGAAATAAAGGTGGGTAGAAGCAAGATACTCATGGTAAGGGGAAGAAGCTGATAGATTCTATCACATGTCTAGGGATCTGCCCAAGACCATTTAAAATGTTGTTCCTCCCCTGGTATCAGTAACTTGCCAATATCACCACCTAAACTCTCTCTCTCTCTCTCTCTCTCTCTCTCTCTCTCTCTCTCTCTCTCTACAAAATGCCCATGGAGTTCTTTCGTTTTTGCCGTGCCCCACAATCCTTATGCAGGGCAGTGACATGCGCCAACATTGTTTTGTGGGGCCAGCGTAAGACACCATGTAGAGCCCGAATGTGTTTTGGCTTTTGGGTCACCATGGAGCATCTAGCGGCCCCCAACCGGCAGGCAAGCCTCCACCCCCATGTCCACCCCCCCCACCACCACCATGGGGCATCGAAGGATCCAAACCAGGCAGGCCTCCACCCCCACCACCATGGTGCATCGAACGGGGCCAACTAGGCAGGCCTCCACCCCCATGCGCCCCCCCAAAGAAAAGGCAGATTGGATCGCTTCTTGACCAGGCGCATGCAATAGGCCTGGGCTCCCCATCACAAGGGGGCAAGTTTTGCTTAAAGGTTGCTCCTTCAAACGTTTTCTACCTGACAGAGCCCCAAACTATGATGAAGATGTTCCTCTTCCGGCTACGATTTCTACCCTACGGAGGGGGTAAGTAAACCGGAGAGGTCCTGCCCAACTAAATATTCCAGGTAACACTAAGCCAGCAGGACATTGGTTTTCACACATTCTTGGGAGGTCACGGTACTACTGGATCCATATGTTAATTCTCAACCGCTAATAGTAGGGCGCGGAATGAAGTACAAGAGGGCCATAGCTCCTACGTTCATAGACAAAAGAGTATAGGTAGGTGGTTGGCCATATCCACCATCATAGATGGAGCTTCAGAGGGAAACTCACGAGGAAGATCCGGTAGACAGAAAAGGGGTTCTACAAGCTACAGAGAAGGCCAGCTCCGTGCATACCTTGCTCCGTAGGAAGTGATACCTCCAGAGATACTCGTTCGAGTACTTCATTGCACTTCTTCTCCGAGGCAGTCATTGCCACAGGCTGTCAATGACCAGTCAGCACTTGGGAACTACTCTGTGACCAGGAGAAAAGGAGCGAGGGAGGGAAAGAGAGAGAGAGAGTTGCCCTTCATCATTTTCTTTATTTCCTCCCCACTTTCTTCTCTCTTTGTCGAGTGTTTGACTATTCCTTACATCCACGAAATCACCTGAGACAATCGTTGGGTTTCGTGAGCTGCCGTAGGATTGGGATTATTTCGTTGCAGGACTCATTCCACGTACATAGTGTACTTCAGGGATTGACAGAGGGGGAACTCTCCAACTTCCAATCATCTGTTTGCTTCTCTCTACTTCATTCTCTTTACCTTCCTAACATCCCACCCATGTGTTTGAGCAGGAGAGAATTCTCTTCAATGAATGTCACCCTCTCCCTTTCGTAATTCCTGATTCTGATTGTGATGATGCTTGTTCTGATGCGCTCCGATTTCTTTTTCTTCGGCGTATGGTCTGATGTCAGAGCCTCTCTGTCAGAGTCCATCCCTTTCTCGTTTTTTCCTTTCTTTTTTCTATCACCAGTCCTGTTCTCGAGCCTTCCCCTGACGCGTATATCTTCTTAGCATCTAGGTCCTTCTGCTACATTGGGATATTCCTTTTCTCCATTTTTTTTAATTTTTCTTTTCTTTTCCTATCATCAGTCCTGCTCTTGACTCTTCCCCTGATACATATATCCTCTTAGTACCTAGTCCTACTGCTACATCGGGATGAGCAGCTCATCAGCTCGAGGTTTGGCTCCGTGAGTGCTTCATCAGCTCAAGGGTTGGCTCCACGAGCGCTTTACGGTTTGAGTGTGACACAAGGGTATCCTTCTACAAGATGATCCAAAGAGGGAGTCGTATTCCACTTCCGCAATCTACATTATCATGAATGCGTAAATTCCTTGAAGTTAACGCAAAAAAAAAAAAAAGGGAAATGCAGGTTTCTTGCGCCTTATCCCTGCATCTGGACAGAAAGTTGCCCATAAAACGCCTTCAATGATAGGGCGTTCTATTCGGGTGAAAACGGGTGGCACCCGACTTCAGGGCACAGGCAGAGATAATCTGACAACAACTGTTTCCAAAGCTACCACCTCAGCCCACAGTAGCACCGCAGCCCATTCTGCCTACCGTCCTCCCACAGACCCAACGCACACTCGTCATTACCGTATCGAACCAAAATATTGATTTTATACATTCGTGATCAGGGTGCATTGTGCTCGGGGGAAGACGGCAACCTTGTTTAATGTTTTCATCGCCACCTGGAGCTAAGGTTAGGATAGGACTTGCTGCCATCCTGCATAGCCCGTCTAGTCGCAGTTTAGAATAGGCAAAACTCCGCCTTCACATCCCTAAACCTCCAGGTATCCCTCCCTGGACACGCACTCATCGCTTTTGTGCAATTTGCCCAAGCGAAGATGCAGTGCAGCCACAGAGCGGTTAGCGCAGCTCTAGAATGCTTAACTGGGCTCAGAGGGAATGATATTGCGTTGCAACCCACGGTGTCCTCTTCTGTAGAATGAATCAGGATGCACTGGACTATGCAAATGTGAGGTAAAACAGCCGGTTGCAAGCTCCAGTCCACTTCCAGAAAAAAGAGAAGATAGCAAGACAGCGACCACTTGGCTCTCCAGAAGGTCTCGATAGAGTGAGTGTGCCAGAAGGTCTCAATAGAGTGAGTGTGAGAGTGAGCGTGAGAGTGAGTGTGAGAGTGAGTGTGAGAGTGAGTGTGAGATTAGAGTGTGAGAGTGAGTGTGAGAGTGAGTGTGAGAGTGAGTGTGAGAGTGAGTGTGACAGCGAGTGTGACAGCGAGTGTCAGAGCGAGTCTGAGAGTGAGTGTGAGAGCGAGGAAGTGAGGGAGTGAGCGAGCGAGGCAGCGAGGGAGTGAGGGAGTGAGCGAATGAATGAGCGAGAGAGAGAGAGAGAGAGAGAGAGAGAGAGAGGTCTCGATAGAGTGAGTGTGCCAGAAGGTCTCAATAGAGTGAGTGTGAGAGTGAGCGTGAGAGTGAGTGTGAGTGTGAGAGTGAGTGTGAGAGTGAGTGTGACAGCGAGTGTGACAGCGAGTGTCAGAGCGAGTCTGAGAGTGAGCGTGAGAGCGAGGAAGTGAGGGAGTGAGCGAGCGAGGCAGCGAGGGAGTGAGGGAGTGAGCGAGGGAGTGATGGAGTGAGCGAATGAATGAGCGAGTGAGTGAGTGTGAGAGAGAGAGAGAGAGAGAGAGAGAGATTGGTAAACTGATTGATTAATCGACTGACATATGGATAGATGGATTTACTCTCTTAGCTGATCGGTTGCATGATTGATCAACGATTGGTTGGTAAATGGATTTTTTATTTGATGATCTGGTTTGGTTTGGTTCACTTGGTTAGGTTTTGTACTTTATCTAGGTTGATTTGATTTGATGGGTCAATCAATCACTCAGAGATTGATTGGCTTGGCCTGATTAACTTGACTGATTGCCTGATTGACCCTTGTCTACACGAGTTGATAGTGGCCAGGTACTCCCCATCCATACCACCGGTAGCCAACTCCATGACGTTTAGGGGATCAGATTGGTGCATTTCCCCTCAGGCTCCTGTCTTGGAGAAATGTGGCATGTATGCAGTACCTTCAGTGTCTCTCCTAAAAGGAGAACTGCATACCTTAACTAACCTTCTCAGATGGGTGGCAGGCAGACGCCTCTGCGAGGACACAGCTGCTTGGAGCCCAGTTTGATCATACATATGCGAAAATAAAATTCCTCAACCTTGCTTTACTAGAACTTGACATGAGTACTGCCACAACTTCTCCCCCTCCTCCCTCTCCCTCCCTCCCTCCCTTTCCCTCCCTCTCTCCGTCCTTCACTCCCTCTCTCCGTCCTTCACTCCCTGCCTCGCTCCCTTCCACAGTTCCTCTGAAATATGACCACCAGCGTCACCATACTCACCCAGGAAGGGTGGGGTGGGGCGCATGGCACTCACCAGTGAACCATGGGTGAACCCAACTATGAACCATGGGCAAATCCAATTATGCCATACGTAGTCTTGCAAGCTTGGTAGACCAGACAAGAGAGCTTGAGGAGTGCGACAGTGACCGCCTACCAGCCAAGCACAATCTGCTTGGTAGAGCAGACAAGAGAACTTGAGGAGTGCGACAGTGACCGCCTACCAGCCAAGCACAATCTGCTCGTGCACACAATACTCACTTGCAGCCTCGTGGCAGCTATAGCAACCATCGAGACGTTGAAGTGGCAAAGAAGCGACGTGAATGTACTTCCGTGATGTGATTGGGAATGGAATTCGGCGAAATAAAGACTGACCATCAGTATCGAGGAATTCTTCCACGTCCAGCGCATCATCAACATTGAAACTTGACTCCGCTGCGGAGCTTTGGTGCCTTTTCCCCCTGAACATCATGGAAAGTATCAGCCACCAGCTGCGAAAAACGGGCACCGGCCGTCCTGTACTTGTCAGACTCGCGGCAGAGTTTGCCAGCAACCTGCCACACAGGCAGATGGGACCACGGAAAGCATCAACCACCACCAGCTGCGCAAAAAGGGCACCGGCCGTCCTGTACCTGTCTCTTATACACATCTAGATGTGTATAAGAGACAGCCACCACCAGCTGCGCAAAAAGGGCACCGGCCGTCCTGTACTTGTCAGACTCGCGGCAGAGTTTGCCAGCAACCTGCCACACAGGCGGATGCCATTCAGGTAGTGGTGGTGTCACCCAATCCGTCAATACTTTTTGACTTGTTCCGTCAATGAAAAATGGGAAAGTCAGCTAAAAAGGAAAGGGGGCTTGAGTAGCGGAAGAAACCAACCTTCCGCTATTCCAGAACTCAACAATGCCACATCCCTTTATTCCGTCCTGCATTCTTACAACCAACAGCGGCTGCAACCTCGATGTGCCCTCAGCGCTTCCAATCACTACGAGAGTCAGATATTGTGCAAACCTACAAGCGCACTTGGAAGGAAAGGGGGCCAAAGCACCAAACGCAACCATTCTCCAGATATTGTCCTGATGTCAAGTCGCACCAGAAAGGAACAGAGGATGAAATATCGAAAGCAACCATTCGAAGCTACCCTGGCGAGCACCTTGGCAGGCTAGCATTGGAAGACCACCCAATTATTTGATTGACACACATTTAATATGGAGTGGGAAGTGATGGACTGCCACATCAGTAGTCTTCCAGGGAGGGGGGCAGCGGGGGGATTCCCCAGTCCACAGAAAATGTAGACATGCCCACACCAGGTATATCTGGGGGATCAGCCCCTGGGGAGGAGGGGGGGCAGTTCAGCCCCCGGGGGCTCAGCCCTGGTGGGTTCACTGTCGGAGAGTTCAGACCTGGTTCAGCAGCCTTCAATTGTGAGAAAAAGATTATCCCCCCTCTAATGCCATATAAGGCCCATGATCAGAGTAAAGGAAGGGGGACAGAAGGGGGGGAAATGCAAAATGATGGCCCCACCAACCTCCTGAAACATCAAAAGAAACCTGCGCGCCCAGCAGAGTGACGCGCTACAGATTGGTGCAAACATGCTGAAGAATAAACACATCAACAGTGCTGGAGGGACCACCTTCCTCCTCCTGGTCCTCCTCCTCCTCCTGGTCCTCCTCCTCCTCTGCACTTGTGAAAGACAAGTGTCCATGACATTGTGAACAAGTCTGACTAATTGTGGGCGCACATCTCTGCAAAATATGATCGTTTGTTCGTCCCAGTTCCCACTTCCCTCCTTTTCCCTCCTTTTCCTTCCTTTTTTCCTTTTCCGTCCCCTTCATCCAATCCAATCCAATCCATTCGAAGAACCTGCCTGTCCATCAGACAAATCGATTCTATCCACCCATACAATCAATCTACCGAATCAATCGAGCTAATCAATCCATCCAATCAATAGCTACAGTCAATCAAATAAAATATTGAACTAATCAATCCAATTCCTTAATCCAATCAGTCCAACCAATCAAATGCTCCAGACAATTGGCGCAGTTAATCTAACAACTACGACCGATGTAATCAATCGTTCCACATTGAATTCATCCATCCATCCATCAATCGACCAATGGAAAAGGCATCAACTGGAAGTCTGGAACTGATGGACGAAATGTGCGTAAGAAAGGGTGATCAGTTCTGTATGATTAACTAAGGGCATTACTCACACTAGGATTTTTTTTACTTATTTACTCACACTAGGAATTTTTCACTTGTTTTTGGACGTAATTGCAGTCAGATGCATCCGGGTGCGGCTGTAAATGCGGTCAGATGCATTTACAATAGAGCTAGTGTGAGTGTCCCCTAAACGTCTACAGCCCCAATCAACGCCAGCTTCGGAAGGGCACAACTTCCCCTACGCACTGCTGGAGGAGGCCTGCACGCGTGTGTTCTTTTGCCTTGGCTCTTCTGTACCAGTGTGCCCGGAGGAGGCCTGCACGCATGTGTTCTTTTGCCTTGGCTCTTCTGTACCAGTGTGCCTCTTTTTTTTTTTCTTTTTTTTTTCTTTTTTTTTTTCTTTTTTTTAACACACACCCTGTCAGTGTTAGTGCTGCTGATAAGAGCAGACACCACTAACACCTGGGGAGAGGCTCCATCTATTGGTGGGGAGCGTCACCTGCTGGAAAGCGGGTCCAGCGTCCCTTATACAAAATCTGAGAATGAGTAAGCACCGTGATTGTGAGCCCTGCCAGCATTGATTGCCCTGTCTTCAGGGGATTTACTGCGCAGGTGTTGTGAAAATCATCGTAATGTAGCCCTTATCTCCCGTATCTCTTCACCCCCAGGGCGCCAGATCTCTCAATATGCACTGATACCTCTTCAGGAGATTGTAACTCTGTTTGGTTAGAAGGAAAACTCCCTGGGGGGCTCCAGAAGAGAGTTCCTTATGCTCCTCCCCCACTGTCCAACCTCAATTAGCCATACCATGCTTCATCTACAATTGCCAGGGCACTTAGGGTGAAGAGGTCCGGAAAGTCGTGTGGGGGGCGAAGGGGCTCCGTCGGGTCTAGGATTGTCCAGTTGTTAAAGACCAGCTTATAATCCCTGTGAAGTGTTTCTTTTTTCGGGTTGTCTGTACTTAACTCGGTCCCCTTGTTCCTCCCCTCCCAACTCACCGACGCTATCCATCCCCCTTGTTCACTCCCCAACCATTCCTTGCCGAAGGTTTCAATTTCTTTTGTATCTCTGCGGTGTCGCTCAGGGGAGCCAATTGCCCCTCTAGCACCTGCCATCTCATTAGCAATTCTGTTTGTATATGCGATTTGATTTGCTCTGTCACTTCCGGACCTTCCACCCTTGCCTTGTCTATGGCCAGTGCACATCTTTTCCACCACAGCGCCCATAGTATGGCTCGTCTGCCCAACTGAAACATATTGGATCTGAAATCACAGGACTGGCCATGAGGCCAATGCCCTGTGAGTATCGCCCTCCATTCGCAGGGCCAGTCCTCGTCTCCTACCGTTTGCCTCCATATTCGATCCCACCAACGCCAGGTGAGGATTGCCCCCGGGCACTGCAAAAAAATGTGTTCTATGGTTTCTGGTATCTTTCTATGGGGGAAGTTTTGCAGGCAGCTAGGACACCACGGGGCCGCAAGCCCCTTCTGTTCTAAGCGGGTGTGATCTATCAGCCAGTTTTGGGTGGGAAGGCATCTGTGCGCAGTCTGCCATTGCAGAGATGTAATCTTCGCCGTTTTTTTCTTGGTTTCCTGGAACCACCGGATCGGTTTCAGGAGCTCTGTAGATACATTAAGGTGCTTTCCCCACCTTTCATTGATGCTGTCCACCAATTGTTTCTTTGGGCGGAGCATCCGGTAAGCGGATTTAGCCGAAAGTCTGTGTAGGAACAAGGTTTTTCTGGTTCCCTTCGGGAAAGATTTTGAGGGGGTCCAACCCCAGTTCAACGGGTCGAAGGGAAGCATGGCGATTGAGGTTTCTGGTCGGAACGCCAGCCTTTCTTGTCCATCCTCTAACACCTGGATTCTGAAAATCTGGTTTCTTGCCATCCATTGAAACGGGTCGCTGCATCCCTCTAGCCGGCATCGTCCGCTTACTGTATAAAGTTCGATTAGTGCATCCTCCTGACGGAGCTCATGAATCAGGCCAACCCATCCCCTCTTCTCGGCTATCGCCACCCAGTCCCCCTCCTGGAGTTTAGGTCCTTTCTTGAGAATACGGTACCAGTCGAGTGGGACGGAAAAGATCAACTCGTCCAAGCGGTCCTCCCTTGCACGGGCATATTTGAGTTGATCTTTAAGTTGCTCCTCTGTTTTCCAATCCCGCTCTTGGTCGTCCCACAGATCCCCAATTCTAGTAATCCCTTTTTGCACCCAGTTTTTCCAAGGCGCCACTGTGTTGTGGAGGACCCGGCCGCTCAAATGACCCATCTATTGCCAAATAAGGGTTGTCTGTAGACCTCTTCCCATCGCTCGTTTATCCGGCAGGGGCAATCTCCTCCAGTTTTTTATGAGTCCCGGCCAGAACGTATCTCGCAATCTGCCCCGAAGTCGTGGAAGGGCCCAGTATCTATCTTCCAGCCACAGCAGGGGGTCAACAGAAGAGGGTGTTTTGGGAGCTAAGCTTCTAATGCAGTCCAATGCAAGCTCGCTCCATGGAGAGTGTGGTTCCATTATGAGCTTTTGAATCCATTTTAGGCTGAGTGTTGTTGTCTGTGTGGGCGGGTCTATAATACCTAGCCCTCCTTGGGCTTTGGGCTCAATGACCGGATCCCATGCCACCCGAGTGATGGCTGTTGGGGATTCGTGGTCTCCTCTCCATAGAGAGGCCGCCACCTGCCTGCGTAATATTTTCTGCGCTTCCTTGCTAAGGGCCCATATTAAAGATTTATACCACAGAGCAGCTAGCACCACGTTGTTTATTACTAAGGCCCGTCCGAAAAGTGAGGTGTGCTTCCTTTTCCATGCCGTCAATTTTTGGAGGGCCGGACCGATTAGCCATTCGTCATTTGAGGGCGGGCGGCCTTCGACTGTCATTAGGACTCCTAGGACTCGGACCGGTGTTTCCTTGTCCAGCCAGTGAACTTTGGGTTCTTCGGGTGGCCTCCCTCCCTGGGAGTGTATCCACCATCCTTGGGTTTTACTTCCCAAGTTGACGGCCATGTCAAATACTTGGCAAAATTTATCCATCATCTTGCGGATTTCCTCCATGTTTTCCCACGTGGCCTCCACCAATATGGTTAGGTCGTCCGCAAAGAGGGAGAAAATCGGAAGTGCTTCCTCGGGTATGGTTGTTATCCGGATCTTTCTCAGGTTATGTTTGCAGCCAAGGCCTCCATTATTATTACAAAGAGAAAAGGCGCAAGAGGGTCCCCTTGTCTCACTGAACGGGTCAGGCGGATCTCTGGTGCAAGGCAGCCGTTGATTTGCACCCTTGTGGACGCATTGCTGTGTAGAATTGACACCCATTTCCTAAAGACCGGGCCAATGTTCATCTTGTTGAGACACCTGTCCAGAAAGAACCAGTCGACATGGTCGTATGCCTTTTCAAAGTCGATAAAGATTATGGCCGCATTTTGATTGTTCTGTTTGGTTAGCCTCAAGACTTCATTGACTAAGAGGATGTTTTCTTGGATATTCTTGTTCTGAATGAAGGCAGTTTGAGCTGGGTGGATGATGTCCTCCATCATGGGGATCAGTCGGTTTGCCAGGCTCTTAGCCAACATCTTATAGACCACTGTCAGGAGCGTTATCGGTCTATAGTTTCTGATGTCAAGCTTGTCTCCTTTTTTGTACAGCAAGGCTAAGACCCCCTGTCCCACCAATTCCCCCATCTCCCCTGTCTGCCAGACTTGGCGGTAGTATGTCATGAGATCCTCATCCAGAGTGTTCCACATGGTCTCCCAAAACTCCTTCGGGAGGCCGGCGATCCCGGGTGTTTTCTCTTCCTCCATCTGCATCAACGCTGTCCATATTTCGTCTCTGGAGAGGGGCCCCTCAAGATTGTCCCTTTGTTGTTGGGAGAGACGGTGTTGGAGGGGTTCAAGAAAGTCTTCTACTGCGCTGATGTGCTCTTCCCGCTCGGGGTTCCCAATGTGGGATGAGAACAGGTCCTTGAAAAAATCCCTTGCGATCTTGACACACTATGGAGTGGAGAGACTCGGGGGCTCTTCTTGCGCCCAGGGGTTCATAAGTCCTTCTATCGTTGTTCTTCTTGTTCTGATTCTGGCCATGCTGAAGAAGTGGGAGTCCATTGATGCCTCTGTCCGGTGCTTTGTCAGTTTTCCCCTAATACGTGTTCCATTCCAACGGTGTTTTGCAAAGTCTAGAAGTTTGTCTTTCAGCAGTGATATCTGCGTGATCTGGTCATCTGATTGTGTGTAGTCCTCCAACTGTTGGATTTGTTTTAGCAGTGTCATTTCTTGTTGGTTTTTGTGTGACGCTATGAGTTTGGAATAGTCTTTGCATTTTTTTGCTAGAAAGAACAGGCCGTTATTAAACCATGTTAATTCAGCGCCTATTATGTCCTTTTTTGTTCGCCAATAAGACCACACATCCGCTATGTAACATTGGAACCGATCATTTTTTAGTAGAGAGGTATTTAATTTGTAAAAGCCTGGCCCTTTATCTGGTCTCTTCCTGAAAGTCAGTGCAACCTCTTATTCATCATCACGCTATATCTCACAGAAGGGCTGCTACATTGGATCTTGCGCCCTATTGTCGTTCTATCACCTTCTAGTTGTTTCGAGAGACATGGTGTCATTTGCTCACCATGGTCTGGTGGGAGATTCAGCTGGACTGGTTAAGTTATATCTGCTGATAGAGAGCAGCAGGCTAGGGCCCAGCAGGACATCCCAGCAAACACTGTGTGCATCAGAGAGAGAAAAAGATAGGGAGGGGCTAGGGCCCAGCAGGACATAGTTTCCCAGGTAACACTGTGTGCGTATGTGTGCATCAGAGAGAGAAAAAGATAGGGAGGGATGGCGTAGAGGCAGGGAGGGGAGAGGCAGAGAGAGAGGGGGGGAAGAAGAGGGGAGACAAACAGAGGGGAGGAGAAAGGGTCTAAAAATTTCCTGAAGAGAGAGGTTATGTTTCTACGCTAGCCTCTCGACACGCCAATCCTCTCTATGGTTACAATTATTTCACGTACTTCTGGTGGTATATGGGTCTCCTTCACACCACTAGGAAAGTAGAGTGAAAGGCTAGGGCAGCCAATTCTGGTGGATTTTCCAAAGTTGGGTGGGACCGTGGCCAATCACCCTCATTATGAGATGAGATTAGGGGCAGGCCTTCAATTCGGACCATTTCTCAATTTATGTGTATCATCCTTACGAACGGGCCACGCTATGCTTTTTTTTTATTTGCTTGTTTGTGAAGACCCGGCCTCGGTCCACTGGAGGGAGTGATACGAGCATCTCCCTCTAATGGGCGCGTTTGGTCGCTCCGGTCTATTGGTGGGGAGCTGCACCTGCTGGAAACCGGGTCCAGCATCCCACAAACATCAACACTCACTCCGCTACAAATATGTGCCAGTCGGATGATCCACCAGGTTCTGACGAGCACATGCCCCCTAAGTGCTCAAGGCGCCAGACTCTACCTTCTTCCCCCGAATACAACGTACGGTCATTATACCTCTATTTGGTGTATCTTTAAGTCTAGATACGGCTATAATCACCGTAAATTGTATTCGGTTTTACCTCCCAGGACCCCACAGCTGACCCAACTCTCTACACTATGTTCCCATTGGCCCCTGTGCGGCCATGCTATGCTAATCTTCTTTGTATCTTCACCTCTGTATCGTTCCATTTTTTTTCTTTTCCCCTTTCTTACATGGCAACGGCGTTGAGACATCATTCTCAAACTGACCGGCCCCAGGTACTTCAGAATTATTTGATTTCATTCATCTGGTTCCATCTGGATTTAAACCTGGGTCCGTGTTTCAACAGTTCACGAGGGGCATCGGCGGAGACGAACTCCGAGCAAAGGAACCACAGGAAAAATCCGGGCAGGTTCCCGGGCAGTTTCATTTTCCCAATTACTCCGCCAAACAAGGTGCACAGGGAAAAAAAAAAGAAAAAAAGAAAAAAAAAAGAAAGAGCAGGTAAAAAGTTTAGAGAACATTAGAATAGCCCTCCTGGCCGACCTGCATCGGTGCAGCCGCACAGGGGTGACGAAGGAGGAAGGCGTCTGGAAGAGATGAGGTCCGTACCCCCAGTTGATAGCCCTCCTGGC